ATTATAGGAAATGCGTTTTTCTAAGGTACATAAACTTTTGGGATTGACTGTATAGCCAATACATCCTTAAATCTTTTGGTAGATAATAAGCACTTTGATGTATTTTGAGACTCATGAACAGAAGCGTATTCAATACTGGTATTTAAGCTTATCTGTTACTATCACGAATTTCAAGTCTCGGACAAAACTATTCAAGATAGTTATTATGTCGACCGTAATACTGCCATGAATACTTTTCGCATAGTAAGTTTCAAGTTCGCGTTTCTCGCGCGTCTAGACGGTTTGTTACTCTTTTTCCGTGATTACTCGTAGAACGGCCCCGCGTTGCTTTTCATCTCGGCGAACTAATTTAAACAAAGCTTGTTTTCCGAGGATCAAAAACTTTCAAAAGTAACTCGCCGTTCCACGGCTTGTACCGGATTCCAAAAAGTTTCCGCTTACCGTTACGGAGCTTCCCGTTGCCTTTGCACGCGAGTTGAAACCGCCACTCTATTAGTAGAAAAACGAGACTTTTTAAACCGAAACAAGTTCCGTAATAATACCGATCCCATATGGAAACGTATCTTGCAGATTAATTCCAATATCCTCTGTCATCTGAGCGAAAGGAGAAAGTAGGAAATTGATGAAGAGAGGCAAACGTTTTCACGTTCAGCATCGGACAATTTTTGTTACAGGGAAAGACGCTTCACCACAACATCACACAGGGTATAATAATCAGTAATCAGAGCCTGGTGCTCCAGGGCGTCGACCGTAAAAGCGCAGGCAATTATACTTGCGTCGGATACAACATGGAGGGAGACGGGGAGAGCTCTCCGTTTTATTTGAACGTAATGTGTACGTGTCGCCGTCCTAAATAAATGATCAGACGCTTCACACGGGGGCAAAATCCCTGTGCTCAAGCGGACAATTACGCGGAATAGCCAGAGATATAATAGTTCCCCGACAAATTAAGACGTTTCTATTAGCAGTAAAACACGTCGTTAAGATATGACAATAAAAACGTCTTTTGATCGTTGAATAAAATCTCGTTTAAAGCGAATCGATTACTTGGACAAAAGTCTAAATATGATATATCCATTTGATAGTGGCCCAAATTCAATTTTTGTTAAACCTGAATTCGATAACAGTCCTCGAATCGAGCACGTATAGAATGAGAATCGAAAAAAGATTTAAACCGTAAATTCCAGTCGCGCCGACCTGCAAACCGAATCAGACCAAGGTTCACGGGGTGGCGAAACAAGAAAAGGCAAACATATCCTGCCAAGTGGACGCGAATCCGCCGGAGGTGCAATTCCGATGGACCTTCAACAATTCCGCCGAGAGTATCGACGTAGCCGCAGGTCATATCGCCAGGGCCGGCACATCCTCGATCGTTTCGTACACCCCCATGACCGAATTGGATTACGGCACGTTGCTCTGCTGGGCCACCAATCGAATTGGACATCAACAAGTGCCCTGCGTCTATCACATCATACCGGCCGGTGAGGTATCTTTGTGTAGTAACTCGATCACGGGAATTCCTCTCGAACCGTGATACTCGATATTCGTGTAACGTGTGATGCGTGCGTGATTCTGTTCACTCGTTTTTTTCGCGAAATTCCAAATAATATTAATCATGATTACTCGTCGATTACTAATAAACTCAACAACTGACTGCTACCAATACCGTAAATGTCACACCTGCTACTCACCACCTCATTTTTCTGTAATTTTACGATGATATACGAAATTAGTGAAAAATACGCCAGTGAGTAGAAATTGTGACGTGAATAAAAATTAACACATTTACCTTATTACTTCGATTTGAGTAATCAATAATTGTTCCAAACAATAACGCATAAATATCCACACAAGTGGTATAGCGTCGTCGAGTTCATTATCGTATAAACTAGAATCTCGTGACACGTAGATAACGCGTTAACTTGGTTACCCGTGAACACCAGCCGTGCCGCGAGACGCGTCGAGAAATGCAAATTGCTTAACTTAAAATATTACGCCTGGCTTAGCCTGTCCCATTCTACTTGGCCGACCATGCATGGTCCTGTTTCACAGGCCCGATATGATACTGTCTTGAACTACTCGCCTGATCAGATACTACTGCGCCGGCCTATTCGTCTGACGAGATAGCGTCCGATTCCACTTGTCGGGCCAGTCGTTCCACTGCTCCCTGGCTGATAACTGCCATAAATTCAGTCTCTAGTCTCCCCTACACCGGATCTTTCGACGGACCATTAATAAAAGCCGAATATCAAAGTTGGTTCCGAAAAACTAGACGCTTTTCAGAAAATACATTGTCTAGGTGAAAATCGGATTGGAAATAGGCGACGGGGAGAGAGTGAAAATGAAACGTTTGCCGTTGATGGTAATTACGCAGGAGAAATAGAGTCGTGCTGACTTTTCAAAAGCGACAATCCCGTATCGAGGAGTTTGGGGATTAAAACGGAAGTTCGTTATCACATCCGCGTGTGTATGGTATGCATACGCGCATGAACTTGTGCATCGATGCACCCTTTTTTCCATGACGGACACAAACCCATCGATCTACCGAACCGATCCAATTGTTGCCTGACAAAAAAGAATGGTCATTCGTACGCGACGTTGAAAAAACGCGGTGTTGAACGAGAAAAAAGGCATTCGAACATTCATTACAACTGTAAATCACCAAAACAACCGAGAACCGTTTGTCGCCTGGTTTATACGGGCGCGCAAATTCTCGCCCCATCTTCTGACCGTCAGCGGCGTGCTTTTCGCGCTTCTCTTTTATTCGAAAGTTAAATTCAAAGAAACACTGGAGAGAACACTTTTCAATAAATGAGGATCGATGCTGTTTGTAAATAGAAACCGAATAAAAAGTCATTTTTCTGCCAACTACGAATACTAGTTATTCGTTTTGACGCTAACTTTTATTATATTTTACGCGATATTCCTTATGGGTATAAAAACTGCTCAAACTCGCAAGTCGTAACAATATGATAATTATACAAACGTTGGGCACCACTGCATCAACGATAAACTTAAAATGAAGTCTTGAGATGCTGTTAAAGAAGTTGGCCAAATGATCCGCGAGATAAGAATAACTCCACAACATATTTTATCTGTTTACAAGAAAGTTATCGGGCAATGTTTTCGCAATGCGCCGCCGGCTTGGGAAAACGTTTACAATACTCGTGAATTTTAAAAGAACTGTAAAACAAAGAACGATGGCCGAAAGCGGCGGTAAATAAGTTTAAAGCGGAGTCTCCCTCGCTTCTTGTTTACGTACCCATAAAGAAAACGCGTTCCTAGTTGCAGACGAAACGTAAAGTGCTGCAGCACTCTTTGTTAATCGAATATCGCAACGCAATTATTCTTTACTACGGCTACACGAACCGATCTACTCTCTGCTTCCTTTTTTTTTCTATATTTTTTAATTACCTTCCATTAAAGCACACTGTATTGCTTCGCTCCATTTACCGATATTATGCATCCTTAATGCAGTAGCTTCCTATTATATCAATAGACCGAGCTAAAGTGAATTTCGCCCTTTGACCCTCCGCGTCTATTCGAACTGATACATGAGCGCGAAAGGATATTTATTCATTTTTAGTGAAGGAAATACTACTCGCTTAATATTATACTACTCTATTTATAAAATCACTCTCGCGATGGTCAGTAGCAGAGAGTAAACGTTCACGAATTATGTGGTAGAGTAAAAAGTTACGTTACTTACCCGTGCATCTGTCGTCAGGTCGACCGGACATGGTCCACAACTGCACCACCTCGAACACGTCGACGAACTCGTTTTCGTTAAGGTGTGCGGAGGGTTTCAACGGCGGTCTGCCGCAGTCGTTTCTTATCGAGGTGCGGGAGAGCAACAGCCAGGAACTACGTTCTAATCAATCGTCGCCGGTGCCGCGTTTCACCGTCACTAACTTGGACTCGGGTGCCCTTTATCAAGCCATCGTCTACGCGTATAACGATAAGGGCCGTAGCGAGCCGATGGTGGTGCAAGCTGGTACCCTGAGGCTGCCTGAAAAACAATTAACGTCCGAGTCAGGTACGAGTGAATGTCAATGTAAAAAATAATTCTTCATTCTTTAAAATTAGTAATTTCGATTATGCAATGTTGTAAATGGTGCATCTTTTGCGCGCAAACATCAGGGATAAAAATACAGTAGTATGTGTCTGCCTAATTCTAGAGAGACCGATGCAGAACACGAGACTGATGCCGATGGTGAGCGTAATGATCGGCGTGATGGCCGCGTTGATCATCGTCGCGGTGATAGTGATGATCGTGCTCAGAATTCAGCACACGCAGGTGGACGAGCAGAGCAAGTCGCAAATGGAGGATCACGGTAAACAAACGAAACCAGCCCCGATCCAGCGGGAACTGAGGTTCCGCGAGGGAGGCAGTTTGCTCACGGATGAAAAACATCCGAGCAGCCCGTTCAGGAAGTTAGAGAGCAGCGGTGACATAAGCGAAAACGACGAGAAGAACCCGGATATCATACCTCAGCAAATCACCGGTTCGCATGCCCCTCTTTTATTGAACGAATCAATTTCTTTTAGTAAGCCCGGGATATTTGTGCAGATTTATAGAACGATCACTTTCGAACTGAAGTTTCCGAATTCCTTCAACGAAAAACCTCGCCGTTTCTTCCCAATAAACTTTCGAATAATTTTTATAATCCGACACGAGAATTGTTTACGCGCGCAGGGGACGAGCCGTCCGAGTACCTGAGGAAGCGGCGGCTAGTTTCGACGATCGAAACATCGCCGTCGAGAAGTTTGCTCGAACACTCGACGGTCACTTCCGTCAGCGGTCACGGCAGTTACGTCGGTTATTGCACCATTCGCAACGGTATGCCGTTGCACGAGTTCTCGAATCTGGCGACGAAACATAAAAGCGTAAGTTCAATTTGTGGACCCATCGATTATCCGACATTACGTACGCGTTCGTCGCTGAATCCAAGTTGCCGAGCATTTTAACCAAATATCCAAATAGTTTCCCTTTCGAAAACGCTTTTTCACAGCTTTTCAAAGTTAAACCGTGGCTACGCGTTCTCAATGAAGACGTTCAAAGGTATCAATCACGTTTCGTCGATGAATTTCAGTTTCAGCCGATGGTGGGCGAGGACTACCAGAGCGGCGTTTGCACTCTGCCGAGGCAACACTGGCCGAGTCAGAGCGTTCAATCAATGTCGATGACGATGAGCCCGATGCTCTACACCAGTCTCGGCGTCGTCAGCAGGACTTGCCCAAGCGGCACGCTGCTGACCAAGGACGCGGAGACGAGAATGCCGGCGCAGTGCTGCATCCAATCGCAGAAAGACGGAAAAATGAGCACGCCAATCGTGATGGCCAAAAGGGAGAGCTCCGTGTGACACTTTTGTCGCTCGCAGACCAGCCACGTGTGAACAAAGGCATCGACGTTCATTTCTCGAGACGCGTTATCAGTGACACTGTTGTGCTAAGCTGCACGCCGTGATGCATCGTCGGAATGTACGGATGGATAATAAAAAGTTGCTTTTTCGAAATGTATTCTTCGTCTTGCAACAGCAGTGAATCCAAGTGATTCCCAATAGGAATTTCAACCCTTCTTTATCGCGGTATATTTCGTCATCATAATTATTATTCTCAGTGAATAGAACTTTTCTCGATTTGAAGAATCGATCCTCTTTTTTTCCAATCTTGTTTTCTCGGAAACAAATTGACAATTCTGACAGAGTGCTTAAGGATGTATTGGCTATACAGTCAATCCCAAAAGTTTATGTACCTTAGAAAGACGCATTTCCTATAATTAAAAAAAATCAGACGTCGGAAGAATAATGCCAATAATAAATAGCTACGTGCTAAAAAGTATAGAAGGAAATAT